CCAGTATCTCTTAACATCATATAAGACAAAGTTTACAATTCTGATAGGTTGTAAAAGTCAGTAATTGAGAATTGAACGAATAATTCAGAATGAATAATTTTCTTTATTTCAAGAAAATTGACTGAAATCAAAACATGCTTGTCTCTGTGTCCCCATTTTCTCCATTTTCAGAACCCTTTTTAATTTTTATTCTTCAAAATTCTTTTTTGAGATAAAAATTTGACTTCTATTGAAATGCAGAACTTGATTCATGGCACCTGAGTAATAAGAGATGAAATGTGGATTATGGCAAGACACAGTGCTCATGCATAATTCCTTTAGCCCATTTGGGATGCTTTAAACAGTTTTTTGTTGTTCTCCTTGGTTACACTGGCACCCTGGAGACACCAGGTAGGCAAAGAAGATAGGTCCGTCTGAACATTTGCTTCAGTCTTCTTTATATGAATTCTTTGTCACTAACCAGCATTCTCAGCCTTACTTGATTTAGTACCTCAAGCACCATCTCAAACTGATCATGTCTTCATCAGATCAGCGCTGGAACAGCCAAGGATCTTAACTACTGGGCTATCTTTCCAATTCTGAGAAAAGTTCTTGATTCCACTCAAGATTAACACCAGACAGGTTTTCTTCACTGGTAGTTCTGAGAGATGGTCACCACAGGTAAAATATTTATTGAAAACAGTGAGTATATTCAGTTTCCCCTGTCATCTATCTTCCCAAATTGTAACAAGATAGATATCAAGAAAAAATTTGTAAATAAAAAAATAACCCCCAGCACCTCATTTGGCTGCCCAAGTAACCACAATGCAATTTAAGAAAAAGATGAAATTTAATGCAACTGATTGATGACGAATTTCACTGAATTGACTCATTATATCAGTGTTTGGGAGATGTCACCTGTGCATGCTTATAATTTAAAATATTTTTTATGAAATCTAAATCATCTTGAAAAAATATCTAGAAACTAAATTGACAACTATTATAAGAATAAACAAACATTTCCAAACTCATAAAACCACAGTGGAAAATAAGCAAAATTAACATTCTTAGCTGCATAGGCAAAGCCTAGAAAAAAAAAGACTAGTCATTTATTTATCTATTTGGTAAGTTAGCAAAACTCAAATTAACACAGTAAACTAACTCTGGCATGAACAGTTAACATATTGCACTAACAGTAACATTCTGAAGCTAAAATTGAAAACGATATAACTATATACTGATGGGTACATGTTTGAAATGAGTTAAAACTAATAAGCAAAAAAGGTGAGGACTTAATCAAAACTGGTCATGGCACAGTAATTCTAATCCTTTCTTTCTTTTTATTCTTTTGTGATTTCACACATACAATACTGTTCTTTGATCAAAGCCCCTACCATTATTTTCTTTTATCCCCTCCATCTCTCATCAAATTCCTTCTTCCCAAGTCCCACCCCTATTGCATATCTTTTGTGTGTGAGGGGGGCCGTGTGCTCACTGCATTTAATTAGAGTCTCCTGCATGAACTCTGTTGGGATGGGAGGGTGGTTATTTCTCTGAATGAGGGCAATGTACTATTGATACAGCACTGGGTATCATGACTTCCCCTCCCCATCAGCAAACTTTATAGCTTCTCTGGGAGATGTGGGGCTTTATAAGTCCCTCTCCCATCCATGATGGTATGCTGATAATGCAAGTCTTGTCCAGGTCTTATTCAGGTAGCCATGCTGCTGAGTTCATGGGCACAACAGCCATGTCATGTCTGGAAGCCAATATTTCACTGCATTCCTTCCCATCCTCCAGCTCTTACACCCTTTCTGCTTCTTCAGAATTATTCCCTGAGCCTTTGAAGGGGTGATATAAATGGTCTATTTAGGGCTGAGCACTCAGGAGTCACTTGTTCCCAACACGTTCATCAAATGTGAGTCTCTGCAGTAACTGTTTCCCATTGCAAACAGAAGCTTCTCTGACCAAGGCTGAGAGCAGCACTAATCTGTGAGTATAAATAGAAATATTTAGAGAACAATTTGACACTGTATATCCATTTAGAAAAACAACACTAGAAGGTTCTTTCCTAGGGCATCCAGAGCCATTGGCTTTGACCAAGTTTGAAGGAGTAGGTATGAGTTTCTTAAATGGATCATTTCTTAACACATTGAACATACACTTACTGAGTGATGCACTCTATGGATGTCAGCACAGTAAAATGGAAATAAATGCTATGCTTTCTTAACAACATTATTAATCTAAGTTTAGAGAACTTGTAATTAAGGAAATCATTTTCTCAAGTTCCTTGACACTGTAGTATAAGTACTTTCTGTTTCCTCTTTTACACAGGTGAGTGATGATTGGAATGATAATTTGTATCAGTTATTGAGCTCTTACTATTTTGAATATTTTATGTTATTTTATCCGTGTAACAACACTATGAAATGGGCAATATTATCTCTGTTTATACATGAGGCACATGAAGCCCAAAGTTTGTATAGCCAGTAAGTGAATTTCGAAAGTCTCTAGTATTTCTTCTCTCCCTCTCCTTCTCTCTCCTCTCTGCTCTCTCTCTCTGTCTCTCTCTCTGTCTCTACTTCCCCCTTGCTCTCTCTCCTTTGTCTTATGAAGTATATATGTATCTGAATAACTAGTTACAACAAACATAAGAATTGAAGAAAACTAGGAACATGCAACTAAGTATGAAGAAAAATTTTATTTTTGTTTTTGGAGTTGTAAATGGCCCCCATGCTTTACATGTTTCTATGTGTAAACAGCCAAGCATATGTGTGACAGAGAGGAAGAGAGGGAGGAAGTGGGAGAGAGCAAAGGAGGTAAAAAGAGAGAGGATGCATGAGATTATATAAAACAGAAGAAATGCATGAGATTCTGTAAAATCAAATTTTCTTGAGAAAACTGGAAATATTGGTTGGGTGTCCATTTGTTGCTGAATTAGAAAGTATCTTACAAGGCAAAAGTATTAATGTATTGCTTTTGGACCTTTCTTTTCATAGTCCTATTTCAAATATGTTTTCTATGTGAATTTTTCTGTTATAACTAGTTTTTAATTTCATTATTTCTATTGTATTGTTATGCGTCAGAAGTGTCTTTTCCATCCTCAAATTGCATAAATGCACATCAACTTCTTCTAGTACTTTTTAATCACCATGAAGCAGGTCACATAAACTACTTCTGAGAGGGCTTATCCTTTTCATACTAATTAAAAATACTAATTTTATCATATATAAAATTCTTGGACAAGCTGATCCTGCAACAGGGCATAAGAACAAAAACTCTTGTTTGATCTTTTTAATGTATTGCCACTATGCCACTTCCCAGGGGGGCGGGGAGATACTTTAAAATTGAGATAATCATTCTTTAAAGCCAAGAGTGAATGAACTTCTTACACGGTATGGATGAATTCATGTGAAGGCTTCCCTGAGAAGGTTTATTCCATAATTTTATTAGGTGCACATGCATAATACTATCAAAATTATAATGACAGTGTAGTCCAGGCTGCTCTCCATATGTTCAGTAGACATATTAGAAAAGTATTTGAGTAATTCCTATAAACAGGGTAATTTTTCCTGAAGGAAAAATGATAAAAATTACTAAAATAACAACCTGGGATTGAAAACTATTTCAATTTTTTTTGATGCCAACGATATTGTCATGAATGAAGCGACAGTTAAAAAGTGTCAGAAAACTCTAAAACTTTTTATTTCAATCAATGATGTCTACCATATATTTAACAATCATAGCACTTAATTTTCACTTTAATAAAAGTTTCCAATCTTTTAAGTACATTTTTTAATTCTTATGGGATCAAATGAATGAGTTGAAAGTTGGAACACTGCACAGATTGTTGTTGATGGCTACAAGAAAGGGTGGCGTCTTTCCAAAAAAGGACAAGGAAGCAGGTCTTCTTCTCCAGACCCCAGGAGGAAAAGACAGATAACATGAAATCTATACTGCTGCAGCTTCACTTGAACCAACAGTACATCCTCTCCTCTCCTTTCTGATAGCAATGATTGGTGGAGGAAATATTACTGAGATCACTCAATTCATCCTCCTGGGATTCTCGGATTTCCCCAGAATCACAGCACTGCTCTTCATCATATTCCTGCTCATCTACATCACAACTCTGACCTGGAACCTGTGCCTCATTGTTTTAATAAGGATGGATTCCCATCTCCACATCCCCATGTACTTCTTCCTCAGTAATCTGTCCTTCATAGACCTCTGCTATGTCTCCTCCACAGTCCCTAAACTGCTTTCCAACTTCATTCAGGAAAAGAAAACTATCAGTATTTTGGGCTGCATAGCTCAGTACTTCTTCTTCTCCACTATGGGGCTGAGTGAATCTTGCCTCATGACAGCCATGGCCTATGACAGGTACGCTGCTATTTGTAACCCATTGCTCTATTCATCCATCATGTCACCCACCCTCTGTGTTCAGATGGTGATGGGATCCTATGTGGCAGGACTCACAGGTTCTTTATCTCAGACTTGTGCCTTGCTGCAGCTCCACTTCTGTGGACCTAATGTCATCAGGCACTTTTTCTGTGACTTTCCCCAGCTGTTAAATCTATCCTGCACTGACGCTTTCTTTGCCCAAGTCCTGCTTGCTATATTAACAATGTTGTTTGCGGTAGTGAATGGCTTAGCTATTATGACATCCTATGTCTATATTGTCTTGTCCATCATGAAGATCACTTCAGCTACAGGGAGGTCCAAGGCATTCAACACCTGTGCTTCTCATCTGACAGCTGTTTCTCTCTTCTATACCTCCAGTGCCTTTGTCTATTTAAGTTCCAGCTCTGGCAGCTCCTCCAGCTTTGACAGATTTGCATCTGTCTTCTACACTGTGATGATTCCCATGCTGAACCCCTTGATTTATAGTCTGAGGAACAAGGAAATCAAAGATGCCATGAAGAGGTTGCTGAGGAATGCAGGCTGCTGTTAAGGTTAAAGATTCTAAGATTTCTGAAAGGTGACCTACAGAATTCCTAGTTACTTTGAACAAAGGTTCAACTTGATACAGATTATATGTTAATGTAGACATCTAGCTCGCAGTAGATGATGCCTTCCTGAGGTTACCTCTGTCCAGAGACCTTGTCTCACAAATGCTGTGATGCAGCATAATGAAGACTGATGAGAATTCATTGTTCTTTATTTCTCAACAGATGGGAATGAACATGCTGAAGGAAAACTACTAGTTTTTAAAATTATCTGTGTATTTCATTACAGGTTTAACATATTCAATAACAGCTTCCAGTGGCTGTAAAATTTTTAGGTTCACTGTTGAATTAATACAGTTATACAATATTGAATTCAGTATAAACCCTGCAAGATGTAAAATTGAATGAGTTTTTAACCTTTAAAAAATGATCTCCATTTCATTTTAAAATATACTGTTTCTTGCAGAAAGACATCGTTTTTGCTAATAACACTGAGATGTTGGCACATGCGTCTTTAATCTGTATGTATCTAATTATTACTAGTCATAGTCAGTTGCACACAGATCCTTGGCACCTGTGTTTGTCTATAAAGTTATCGGGTAGATTTCAATGGTACTGTTTATCACCTCTATTGAATTAGCCTGACTGTGCCTCCTAGAAAAGACTCACCTGTCATAGCTGATGCATGTCTCAGCAAATCAGTGCTAATCATCTAACACACTTTTGGTCATGTCCTGGTCTCCACCAGCTATAGGCTAAGGAAAGAAGATGCAAACTAAGTCTTCAGTAGTAATGAAGTATGTGATTTCTTCAGTGTTATTTACACACGAGTGTGATGATTTGACTCCTGAAACCAGAGCCCATTTGCAATTTGACATTCTAATTCCAAATGGCCAATAATATCTGATACCATGGTACCCCGACTTCCTTTCTATGTCCCACTAAGTCATGACTTGATTAACATATCCAGTAGTATCTTACTTACAAATTGCTCTTGATATTTCAGAAATCTGTTTACATTTGTATAATAATACATTTACGAATTAATTATAATGGTAAAGCTAATGAATACTCAATTTTCTAAAGAAAGATATAAATATGGAAAAATTGTTTACAGGTCTCCAAACTCAGAAGAACCATATAGGCACTGTTAAGAAACAACCAAGAAACTCCCAAATATCCTGAACCCTGAGTATGAAGTGCTGTCTGAGGAGTACTTCAATGACCTCTTCTCTAGGGAAGTTAGTTCTACATAGTTAGTTCTATATATATGAGCAGGTAAAAAAAGATATGTGGAACCCATAGCAGTTGTGACAGCATGCACAATCCAAGCCAGAATAAAACCCGCACAGATGGGTGAAGTAGACAAGAAATCCCAGTGCTAGCTGAGGGCCTATTGCAATTTACAGCTGTTGGGAGAGTGAGAGTCAGTTTCTGTGTGTGATGCCTTGATGTTTGATAAGAATCAAGAGTATCAACTGATACCCAAGAGCATTTAGGGAAGACAAGTTAGACTAAATAGGCCTTAAAATAAATAATAGAGGACATGAAGTGAGGGTGAGGTAGAAAGGTAGGGGTGTATTTTGGAGGAGATGGAGGAAGGAGCCTGAATATGATCAAAATATACTGTGTGAAATTTTCAAAGAATCAATACAAACATTTTTAAAAGATATGTAATTAGGAGGTAATGGCATTAGGTTACTCTGTATTTGCTTTCTTATCAGTTTCCATGTTAGGTGGAATTACACTTGGTGATGCTCAAAGTCACTTTTGACTAGGATAATTTTTTTCTGATTTAATAAGAATAGATGTAATGTGTATGCCTGCAGGAAGATGCCTTAAGCAATAGTTCAAGACTTGCCCTGTGTGTTTTCTCACTTTGCCACTTGGTTGCCTAGTGTTGCAGGTAGTGATTGCTCTTCCAGTAAGGTTATAGGAGATGGATCAATTTGGCTGACCTTGGGGTCTGTGCTATAGTGAAAAAATAAAGCTTTGTGGTTTCAAGCTTCGGATGTTTGGTTGTTTCTGTAGCAGTACCAAATTTAATGCTGTAAAATTTGACCTAATATGGTCTGAAGCTCTTGACACCCAGGAACTTAAAATTACTTAAAAATTACAACTTAAAATTAGTCATCCATATATCTACACTGTACAAATAATTTGTGTTATCCCTGAATTTATTTCATTTTATAACTTACTCCATAATTTGCCTTTCATATTTATAGACAAACAAATCATCTTTATTCAGTCCTCAGTGACTCTAGGCCTGGATATATCAAAGAGGATAAGATAAATAGGTTCACAACATACTAAGTAAACTATATCTCTAGCAATTCTGCTAATTTTCTGGAGGATGGAAGCAATGAAGTATTTTCACATGAAATAATTACTGGAGACTTTACTGGTATTATTCAAATTCTTAACAAATTTAAAAAGTATTTACTGCATAAGTTTCATTGCACAAAAACTATAGGTCAGAGTGGAGAGAGAGCTCAGTGATTAAGAACACTTGTGGTTCTTCCAGAAAACCCAGGTTTGATTCCCAGCACCCACATGGCAGCTAACAACCAACTGTAATTCCAGTTCCAAGTAATCTGACACCCTCTTCTGGGCTCTACAGGGCATGAGTGAACTTACATACATGCAGGCAGTACATTCATACACCTAAAATTAAAAAGAAAATATTAAAAAATATTTTTATATTTTATTCATTATTATTGTGTTGTGTGCCAGTGTTGTGCAATGCCCACAGAAGTCAGAAGAAGAAATCACATGTCCTGGAACTGTAGGTGCAGATGGTTGTTAGGCACCATAAGCGTGCTAGGAATAGTACCCGGGTCTTCTGCTAAGAGAAGCCAGTGCTCTTAGTCACTAAGCATATCGCCATTCCCCTAAAAATATTTTTAGAACAAGAGAGATGTAGTACTATTCTATCTATCCCCTGTTCCACTATGTTCCGTGAGCCTTAGGTTGTACCATAAATATGTCACTTAGAGCTAGTCATCTCAAATACACTTATTCTCTGTGTATGACCAGATGTGGAATTCTATAATTGCCCCCATCTATTACAAAACAAAGTTTTTCAAATGAGTAGTGACTGATATACTTGTCTGTAAATATAAGGATCATATTTAGCATACAGTAATAAACACTAAATGTACAGAACTCAGAGAGGGTACTGAAGGCTGCTACAGAAAAACAAGTTACATGTAAAAGAAAACCCATTGGAACTGCAGCTGACTTTTCAATTCAGACTATGAAAGTCAGAAGAGCCTGGACCAAAGTATTCCCAGTTCTCAACGACCATGGATGTCAAACATGAATACTTTATCCAGCAAGACAATCTATCATGGTCAAATGGGAATGGAAAATTTTCATGACATGAGTAGGAAGAAAGAATTCATGTCCACCAAACCAGCTCTACAGAGAATACTTGAAACAGTACAAAACACTGAAGAAAGGAATGAGTATACCCAAGAGGTTACAGAAAGAAAACAAAGAAATGTGTAGTAACAGAAACTCAAAATGGGGCCGCAAACACAAAGAAATTAAAATGAAATTATCCAATACAAATCCTACAATAATAACACTAAATATCAGTGGTCTTAACTTCCCTATCTAAAGATACAAGCTTAAGGAATGGATCAAGAAAAAAAAGCCAATCTTTTTGTTTTCTTCAAGAAATTCATCTCACCTTCAAAGATAGACACTTCCTTAATGTGAAAAGATGGAAGAAAATATTCCAAGCAAATGATTCTAAGAAGCAGCTTGTGTTGCAATTCTAATATCTGACAAAATATAATTCAAATAAAAATGAATCAGAAGAGATAAAGAGGGTTACTTCATTCAAGTCAAAGGAACAATTGATTAAGGAGATATTGCAATCATGAACATATATGCACCAAACTGAGGAGCACAGAATTTCCTAAAAACAGTACTACAGGACTACAAAACAGAGATTAACCCCAAGTCAGTAATAGTAGGTGACATTATTACCCCACTTCAATAGACAGGTCAAATAGAGAGACATCTGAATTAAATGACATCTTACATGAAATAGACCTAACAGACATTTACAGAATATTCCACCTAGCACCAAAAAATATACCTCTACTCAGCAACCCATGCAAGTTTTCTAAAATTGACCACATTCTGGGATACAAAACAAATTTCAACACATAAAAAAACCATTGAAATAATTCTGTGCCTTCTATCAGACAATGGTACAATAAAGCTTGCAATCAACAGCAAAAGAAGCTCTAGTCACTAAACAAACATATGGAGATTAAACAACACACTTGGTGCATATGTTTATGATTGTAGCATCTTCTTGACCAATTGTTCCTTTGATTTGAATGAAGTAACCCTCTTTATCTCATGATGAATGGTTCAAAGCAAAAAGTTAAGAGAGAAATAAAAGGATTTCTGAAACTAATAAAAATGAGAATACAACACAACAAAACCTCTAGGATGCCTTAAAAGCAGTCCTAAGAGGGAAATTTATAGCTATTAGTGCCTACATTAAAAAAAATCAGAAAGAGCACATGTACATGACTTAACAGTACAACTCAAGACTCTGGAAAGGCAAGAACAAACCAAGTCCAAACCTAGTAGATGAGAAGGAATAACAAAAATCAGAGCAGAAATGAATGAAAATAGATATAAAGAAAAAAAATTTAAATCTAAGAGCTGGTTCTTTGAAAGGTTAAACAAGGTAGACAGACCGTTAGCCCAGTTAACCAAAAGAAATAAAAAGCAAATCCAAGTCAACAAAATCAGAGGCAAAATGGGAAACATCACAACAGACATCAAAATAATTCAGAACATTTTAAGGGAATACTTTTGTAAAAATCTATAATTCATTAAATTCAAAAATCTAAAAGAAATGGATGAATTTCTAAAGTCATGGCCACCATCAAAATCAAATCAAGAAGGGATCAACAGCTTAAACAGACCCATAACAAATAAGGAAATTGAAACAGTAGTAGAATGCCTCTTGACTATA